TGTAGTGTGGTCATAAAAAGTGTTCTAACCAAACAGATAGGAAAGAAACATCTTTGTCAAACTTAGTAGCTGTGAAACAGCTGAAATGCCTCCCTGTGTTTCAACAACAAAAAGTATTTTATAAGTAGATTATCATGAGCATCAGAATTTTCAAGTACAGAGTTTTGAAATGTACTGAATAGTGCTCTGTCAGTGGTGACAATCTCAAGCAAAATACTAGGTCAAACTCATATCTGTCTGATTGCCCTGATTTTATGTTAGCCTCTGTAGCACCAGACATACTGTTATTAGTCTGTTAATTCTGTATATATTATTAAAACAGCAATGTTTTCACCTATAATGAGACCAATTCACATTACAGATCTATTTCAAACACGTTAGATGTGTGCGTGTGTCTATATAAGTACTTCTTTCCTGGTCTCACTTACTGACTGAAGTTTTTAGTGTTAAAATTCTGTGTATTATCAATTACTTAAAAGCAAGCTACCTATATAAATTAGAACTAAAAATTAACCCAAATAATAATTATATAACAAGAAGTATGCAGCATCCTAAACTACCGATTTGAATGCACTGATTCGTTATTTTGATATCCTCACCATTATACGAATTTTTGGCTGCAAACCAATAACTGACTCAGAGTGCTTACTGATAAACGTTTATGGGTAGAAAAAAGGTTAATAAACAATAAGTGCATTCAAATTTTATAGGTTGCACTAAATAACATTCATTTAGTCTGATTTGAACAAGGCTGAAATGCAGAGACTAAATTTTAAGGGGAAAAAATATATATATATATAAAGTTTTTAAAAAGACTTTAAACTGCCTTATTAAAATTTGTGAATAAAATTTAAAATGTTTCTAGTATTTTGAATGTTAAAATTAGGTGTTTTTAGTAGGAAAAAACTAATCAGGTATGAGGCATATCCTTATATGAAGTTTGAACTCAAGTTTTGGTTATTTAGTACTGCCACCTACCTTTCAACTTGTTGTCACTAATTGTAGAGACAACAATCAACTACTTGTAAATGCTCCTAAAAGTGTACCTGTTTTTCTTCCAAGTACATAAAACAGGTATGACTGAAATAATGGTATTCTGTGTTACCAAAACAAAGTCAAAGTTTCTTCATTTATTTGTTTACATTGATATGGTTATTTAACCAAGTTAATTGGTTTTTATTGTAATTAATTTCAAACTTTTGGAAGGTATAATATTTTACTAAATGTATGTTAATTTGTTAATGACAAAATCAGTATTAATTTTTTCTAGGTGAGATATTTAGAAACACCTGACATACATTTTATAACAACTGATTCATTTTACATGAATTCAATATAGATAATGATATTTAAACCTGTTAAAGTAGAATTTTGTGTTTGTATATAGATACAAGTTCATTAACATTTAATTTTTTTCTATAAAGTTTGTGTAGTATAATTCATTGCCACCATGTGTCTTCATTTTTCAAAAGATTTCATTATTTTTTTCTTCCAATGTAGGTATTGAAAAAAATAATTTCTAGTCAAAATTAAAGTAAAAACAAGAAATTTGATGATGGTGTACATAATTTCAATGCACCTCTTCAGTTATAGGTTTCCAAATGTTTTTTATTTTCATGGCTTGATTATGTACACATTAAAGTATTATATAGGAACAGTAAAAAAATGCTTGTATACTTAAAAAATATCTTCTAATGTTGATATACTGCACACTTATAAGGCATCTATATACCTATTGTATATGTACCGGTGACAGTGCTAGAAGAATACCTCGTATATTGCTAGTCAACACTGATAAGTATATGTAGATGCAATTTTAATTAAACTTAAATGATTTTGATAATTTATTTAATTTAGTTTGATTTGAGTGAAAAATTTTATTTTAAAGTTGTGCTTTATTTGTACGATAATCTTTCTAGTTGTATACATTTTTATAAGTTGAGCTTTAGCTTTAGTTAGATGCAATTAAAAATGTTTAAGCATTTTTTTTTAAAGTGATATAAAATGTTGACTTAATTTGTGAGAAGTCTTTTTAAAATAGCAAGACTATCTTATCTGTTTTTTATATTGGTGTACTTTACATAACTCTTTCTGTGTGTCATGTAGTTCTACATTTCTAAGTGTAGTTGGTTAGTATTTGTGTAATCAGGTTCTTACCCTTCACTTGAAGATATCAACCTATTTACAATGTATGTGTATGGTTGTTAACTTTTTATTTTTTTTTGGTTTTATCAGAATTTGTTTATCTTAAATATATCATAAACTATTTTTTTTATTCTTCTGTAATGAAAATACATGGCTTGAAATTTTATTATGACTCTGGTAACGCTTATTGTATGATACTTTAGTAGTTGGGTCAGAATAGTTGGCAGCCATTCAGTAAATCTGCATTTAGTTTATCATGTCACTGGGTGTTCAGATAATTTGTAAATATGAAAGGTGTGTAGTGTATTCAATTTGTGAATTCAATAAGCACTGACACTTGTTTGTTTAAAAGATGATTATAGTATCTGATTTTGATTTTTTTTTATTGTAGAGATTATTGAAACCTGAAGTTTAACTGTATTTTATTGAGATATGTACTTTATTACAGTGTTTCTCTTGAAACATTGTCTTACTAGATAGTGATTACTTTAGGAATTGTTAGAAAATTATTGCTCGAGTGTGCCTTTTGTGCAAGTTTATTGTACAAGGACTTGGGTATGACTAGAGTTACTAACTATTTATATGTTTAAAGGAGATGAATATGTTCTTTACTTGATATTATTATACGTAAAAAAACTTGCATTAAATGAAAATGTGTTTGAAAGTACGAGTAAGAGGATTCAAAAGTGCACATATAATAGCTAGACAAACATGAAATGAGTAAAACTAAAAGATACACAAATTTCACCACAAATTTTCAAACATTAATTTCAGGTTGCTGTCAGTACATTTATTCTTATTTTTCTAATTTTCATATGCATTGTCTAGCCATTATTCTTTTTTCCATTTCTACTCCTTTCACAGTTCAAGTAGGTAAATAAGTTTTATCATAGCATGTCTTTAGTCTGTGTTGAACCAGTGAACACATAAATCTACCATTTGCATTTATTTTTGTACAAGTAAAATATTTATTTGTATGCTGTGTAAGTTACATCAAATGTTCATAGAAACTTGTGCAGACAATCATTTTAAGTGTATATTACATACAGCTTGCCAACTTTTCTGTACCCCCTCCCCTCATCAAGGGAAAAACTGAGTAATTCTTATCTCTTACAAATTGTAATGTCTTCATTTTTTTTGTTGTTTTTCTGAGCATTTGTCTAGCACAAACAATGGAATCTGCTAATATCTGAAGATTTGTATAATGTGTTGTTTTTTGCCTAGTCTTTAAAATACTTCACTGTACATTTTACTAAATATTTCTCAATCATTATTAATTTAGTTGTCAGTTAAATAAAATATTTTAAAAATGTGATGTCCCACATATGTGTATTTTTAGTACATGTCAAAAACTGGTAAAATGATGATGATATCAGAGTGTAAACACCACAAAACAGTCATGATAATAGTACAAAAAATAATGAAGTGTCAATAACAAGTCATGAAAATGACTTTAGACAACAATCAATACAACCGTAAGTAATACAACAGTCATAGTGATGACAGACAGAACTGGAGAGTAAGTAACAACAATCATGACAATGACATAAAGAACAATTGTGATGGCATAGCACTGGAGTGTTAATAACAAAAATCATGAGAATAACATAGACAACAGTGGAGTATAAATAATATATACTAAAGAACCAAGTGTAAGGTTACCACTCGTGTAAGACAATAAATAGTTAATATTACAGACAGAACTATAAAAATTACCATTCTGTTACTGCCTCTGAAGATATCAACGTTACAGACACAGACATGAAAACGTACTATTCTATTGAAAGTTCTCTTTTTGAAGTCAATCACAATAGAAATAATGCCTCACCTGGAAAATTGTTTACCCTTATATTTTTTGTTGGGTTATATTTGTCCCAGTATATGTTTGTGCAGGACTGGTGGTGGACAAATAAAACTTAGATTTTATTACTTTACCTCAAAAGCAATATATATATAAATAGCTGCTGGGACAAAAGTAACCCAAACACAATGCATGTTTTGATATGTATAAAGATTTTAAAAATCATGCATGGGAATAATTTCCAAAAGTGCAGAAAACGTTTTTTGTTATTTCTATTTTAAGAATACAAAAGTTTTACTGAAAGTGTTAAATAGAAAAAAAACGTTACAGCCACATTTTTCTTGTAATAGAAATAACTATGAGGTTGCAGAATTGATAGAGATTTCTGTTCATTACACAATGCTTAACAAGCAGTTTATTATTGTTTGAGGTAGTTTTTTTAACATTCTGATATTTGAACTTTTCTTAATTTTTCACTTTTGAAGAAATTCTGAAACTATTCATGAAGTTTAGTTCACACTTATTTGTTTTTTCTTTTGAGTAACAAGCTTTTCAGAATGACAAACATACATTTAGGTTTTATACATAACTGTATACAACCTAATAAAACTATATAAAGCCCTTTGATCCTGTTTATCTCTAATGCAAGCAGTCTGATGTACATAAAATTGAAGGATCAAATCTAGAATAGAAAAATGAATGCATACAGTAAATGAGACAGTGTTACCATTTAAATAAAAATATTTTTTGGTTTATTCTTCTAATCCATACATTTTTGCAAGTATCATCTAAAAAAGCTACTTTCCAACTCAAGCTGCAATGAATCTTTGTAACAAGTACATTCTGAACATTTTAATAATGCAAAATTGTTTCAGAGAACATTGCATCTTGTTTGTATTTTTAGCCACGGCTTAGCGACCTGTAGAACGGCTCAGAGTTTGTTTTTTCAAGTACAGACTTTTAGCTCATAGCTTCATCATCTCTCGAACAATTTAAGATCTAATTACAGTTCAATTGATATATTTGACCACACCCAAGGTCATAGATTAATTTACTCTAATTCTGCCTAAAAGAATTTCAATTTGAGGGTAGGCTGGTAGAGATCCTGATGAATATTAAAATTGAATCAGGTGTACAAGTGCCCCTCGCTTGGTATTGCTGGTGCACAAAAATATAGCTAATAAAAAGGAAAAAAAGGTCTGATAGATTAATTTACTCTAATCCTGCCTAAAAGAATTTCAAGTGCTGTGGTTATTGAGGATTCCCCTCTTGTTTGTTTGTTTTCAGAAAATTGTTAATGATTTTAACACAGTATACAACTTGGTGAAGACAATCTTGTCATTAACATAGGTTGAATGTAGTGCTGTAAGTACAACATATGGTCTTATTTCTTCTAGTCATGCTCATTTCTGAGATACATGGTTAAAATAATGAATGATTTACAAGTGAATTTTGGACAATAGTAAGAAACAAAATTTTGTAAATAAGCAAGAAACTTGAATAATTGTATTCACACATACATACATATATATAATATGTATAGTGTCACTGTTTAGATTAACTAGAAGGTTTTGTGTAATGTGGAATTCAGCAAATCATACAGAAGTAGGTATGTGTGCTTTACATTACACATTTGCAATCATCAGTTGGGTACACTTGTTAGCCGTATTTTAAGCCATAATCCCAATAAGATCAAGAGGTTTGGCCATCTTCGAAAACTTGTGTTAGTTCTAAATCTATATGCTATTCCAGCAATGCCAAATTAATTTTTTTATAAGCATAATTATAATTTAAAAAATTATGTGAAACATTATATACAATTTTTTCAACATTTTTATTTGCAAAAGCAACAGTTCATTGTTATTTAGTTCCAAAGAGTATATCAATACATTAAATTATTATAATTATAAGCATTCAAGTGCATAAACTAGATATTATTAAAAACATACATTTATAGACAAGTGCATACTAACTGTCTTCATGAACTATACTGCTGTTTATGTGACCGATTTATAACATAAGCACGATCCAGTATGAATAGATCTACATAATTCTTCTCTTCTGAGGAATAGCAAGTAATAAATAAAAACCACTTTTTGGACATGGGGCAACTTTTTTTTCCTTGAGTATAACATGAAACGTAAATGTGAACTTAAAAGGACCAAATATATTGGTCTCTTAAGTATTTTTAGTATTCAGCATGTTGCCACAGTTTGTTTCATACTTCACAAACTAAATTAGCAAAATGTTATAACTTTGGATGACAGTTACACTAAGGTGCTAAATGGAAAGTGCTATCTGAAGAATTGGTAATTGAAAACATTTGATTTTACTACATTGGTACCAAAACTTCCAGTATTACTGTCATTACTAGCTAAGCTTCAGTGTATTGAGCTAATTTAATGCATGGTGAGAAAGGTAAAGAACGATCCAAGTCAATTGATATGTATTAAATAACTTGCACAATGGAGTTTTTAAAACTTCAGTATCCTCAATGATGGTGCTACCTACCTAATTAATGTTAGTTTATAAAAGATTTTGAGAGAACTGGAACTTGTAGAAGGTTTTTTTTTGTTGTTGTTGTTATTTTAAACTGATTGCAGTAATTGGCCAAAATGGAGTATAACGGTCAATAAAAATATCAGTGCTGCGTGGTAAGTATGTGTTACATCTACTTTAACACAAGTGTAGATGACATTTAGGATTTATTTTGAAGCTTTGTAAATGTTTCCTGGAACTGGAAATAAAGGAAGAAAAAAATGTTGCTGTTATTATTATTTAAACTGTATGTTGTTTTAAACAAAAACATTCATATTTCTAATCCATTACAGTAACAGTAATTGTTCTATTTGATAAAAATGGTTTTGTTACATATTTCATAACTACCTGAAATGATAAAGCAGAGAGAACATCATGCTTCTGGTCCCAGAAATTTGTATTAATTTGAGATTCATTACTTTTGCTAATAACAATAGCTGTATACTGATTACTAGTGAACTTTAAACAATACCTTTAAATTTATACTGGGATAGCTATATATTATCATAATCAAAATATTTACAAAATATCATTAGTTTAAAAAAAAACAAATGAGCAAAACCCACTTTTTTATTATAATATTATAGAGTCTTAACCATACAAATACCTTCCAAGGAAGCAATGTAGGTACCAGTAAAAGATTCATTGACATATTACTCTATAGTTTTCCAAAATTCAAAAGTGTTACACGACATAAATTGTACATTAGATGAATGTGCACAATATAAAGGTTTGGGTTTTTTCATCTGTAGACAGAAAAAGCCTGGTCTGAAATGAGAAAGACATCCACATATATGCACCACAGAACATAAAATTGCATTAGTAGGCATGATGTAAGCTTAATTAAGGTTAGGTCTAATTTGCATTTTCAAATGCATTATTTTGCTTCTTTGGTAAATATGTGATGTTCATTAGGCAGGAGCCACCTGGTGGGTTTGAAAGTCTTGATTTGATTGAGGCCTTCTTCAGAAGTTGAAGGGGCTAATCTGTTTGAAAAGCCTTCCTCAAGAAGGAGAGACAGACATTTGATCAGCTCACTTTATGAATAGAAAACCCAGTTTTGAGAGTAATTAAACAATTATCAGGTAAAAGAAACTTGAATCATGTGGAAAATGTAGTTCTACTCTAAGGTTTTGTTTAACATTGTATATTTAACTTTAATTAAGTAATCATAAGTAGAAAACTAACAATGTACAATAATTGCAGCCAGTTTAAACTGAAACAGTATCAGGAAGGGAGACAATATCCAGATCACTAATAATAAAACATCAGTAAATGGAAAATCTGAGTTGTTTTTTTTTAACTACAGAGTATTGTGCAATATTACTAATATGCATAAAACAAGTTATTTAACAACAAAACTTAAATGTTTAATCTTAATATCCTTAAATTTATTTTTCATTATAACTTAAATGTTTAATTTTATTTATGAATCATCTTCAAGTTATAACTTTACACAGATACAGATTTAATTATAAGACCATGAAAAATCATCCTTCGTGTCACTTGGACTGAGCTTTATTATTTATTGTTGTACAATACGTATGACAGCCTGCTTACATGAATATTGTTTGGCTACGTGCTAGTATGTGTGCATTCTCATAATACCGTGAGATAAAGTACAGAAAATTGTAGGATCTTGTTGAAGCGCTTCGGATAAAACAAAGTGAAAACATTTCGGAACAATAACAAAGTTCCCTAAGGTTAAATAGGTGTTTGTGTATTGATTGTTTAACGCATTTACCAAAATATGTTTGATTCCTAAAAATTTGCGAAACAACGAGTTAGGCAGTGGAGAATAGCAGTCGTGTTCAAAAATTATCTTTAAATAATTACTGTTGTTAGGGGATACCAGTACCAGGTGATAAATAAACAATAATTTATACAGTCGAATGGCAACGAATAATAACACCAATAGTATATTGAAATTAACAACGAATGCAAAGTTACTAATTAAAATTAATAATAAACAAACTACAAAATACTAGAGTAGACGTGTATTTCAACATTCGTAATTATTACGTAGCTAAACTATTCCCATAATAAGCAAACTACAAAATACTAGAGTAGACTTGTATTTCAACATTCGTAATTGTTACGTAGCTAAACTATTCCCATAATAAGCAAACTACAAAATACTAGAGTAGACGTGTATTTCAACATTCGTAATTGTTACGTAGCTAAACTATTCCCATAATAAGCAGACTACAAAATACTATCTAGAGTAGATGTGTAACCCAATACCAGTAACTGCTAAACAACTAAATATATTTCCACAATAAGCACATTACTAACACTATCTAGAGTAGTCGTGTAACCTAACATTAGTTGTTATTAAATAGGGAAACAGTCCCCACAACAAGCAAACGAGTTACACTATCCAGTCACCTAACCTTAGTTGTGAAAGGCGCCGCTAGGTGCTTAAAAGATTCGGAGCTCGGTCCCATTGGAGCGAGAATTTTCTGCATTTCTATTCTGAGTTTTAAAAACGCCAACTGGTTATCTGGGCCACGGTCACATACAGTCGGGGCACGGGTCCCATGTGTCAGTGCCTAGCGACGCCTCTGCATACAAATATCAAATATTTATTACACTCTTAATCAAACAATATTTCACCACGTCTTACTACACTGAGATATTCATTACCGTTGCTACAATGGTTACACCCTACTCTTTCTTCAGTCAAACATTTCGTGTATAATAAATTTAGTGTTACATAAATTACTAAAACCGCGAGATGTCAAGTTAAATATACATTCTATTGCGTTCAATTGAACTATTTAGTGATAAAATTTAAGTGATTACTTACACCCCGAGAAATATATTATAGTTAAAAGGTTAGACCTCGCAGTCTAATTCAGAGATTGTAATAGCCATGATGGATTCCTAATGGTGAAAAGATGCCCTAAATAAAAATTTTTTCTCTCTCTCTCTTGAAAAAGTTATGTTATAATTTCGCCTATACTGTAAGGAATTATCTAACTGTATAAATATGACTTAGTTACCTGCCTACTGTAGTATATATTATTGACTCGCTTGTCTAATCCTCTTCTATTGATAGTGTGAATGCTGGATGAAGATGGCTGTTGTTGGGAATCTCCGACAGGTGGCACTGGGAGTGTATCATATGGAGTGGCATATGGATGGCCCTCCTCTGGTGATAGCAGAACAAGTAACATTATATACCGATATTGTTTATAAATGGTATGAATTTTAAGTTTACATTTCTTAGATCTATTATTAATCCGTCACACAATTAGATAGTTTGATTAAATTATTTTGTTTTTTTTTATGATGCAATCAGTAAAGCAAATTATAAAAGATGCTGTTTTAACAGTCGACTACTGTACCTTTTAAAATATTCAAACATAATTTGCATATCGACAGTTTTTCAGTTGTTTCTAAAATTATAATATATAAGTATATATAACATATATAACACCTACATAGTGATATTACTACTATCTTACTTATTATGAGTTATATTTAGATACTTTCTAACTATTAATGTTGGTTACACGTCTACTCTAAGTAGTGATATTACTAGTATCCTGCTTATTTTATGTAGGTTAATGACTTCATCTGTTTGGTTTAAGATACTGTTTTGTAATCTTCTTATTATGGGTTTTTATCTAGTTACTTGACAGCTTTTGGTAATATTATTATTAGTTATCAGTCTACTGTACACAGTTTAATTTTTATTAACCTCCTGGTGCAGGTAACCGTTAGCCACCTAACAAAGTAATCATTTTAGGATAAATTTTGAACAGGACACATTTCTTCATTGAAAACAACAAAGTGTTGCCTTGCTTGTCTAATCTGCTTCTCGTTAGCGTGTGAATTGCAGATGAAGACATGTGACACTAGGGGAGAGTATCGTAAATTGTATATACTAATGAATAAATATTACATACTTACCTGCCTTTGTACTAGACCTTTTTACCTCTATTACAGACAAATATTTCATGTGTAATACACTCTGACAGGGCAAGCTAAATATTATTAGAGGTTTAGAGTCTGCAAGTCTAGGATGTTTCGTATTTATGAAGCTTTGATTTTTCTAAGTTATTTCTCACCTCGCTGATTTTTCAAAAACTTTTCTTATCTTTGACCGTAGTTTTCGCTAGATGGTAATCCAACACGCCAGTTATGCTTAGCAAAATGGCCCACTAGACATTCGAATTTTGTCGTGCGGCTACTTAAGCCTATCAGAGACTTACAAGATAAATAATTACCTGATGATTACTTGATACTAAGGGTCGAAATGTTGTTATCATTCGAATCATAACTTGCCTTCTGTAAAAGTAATTTTTAATGTAGCTTTTGGTAAGTTACTCAGTTCAGTAGGTTCCCAATACCCATTTTGTCTCTTTGTTGCTAAACACAAAGCTACACAATGGGCTATTTGTGCTTTGCCCATCGCGAGTATTGAAACCCAATTATAGCATTATAAGCCCTCTAACTTACTTCTGAATCATAGTGGGGCTATAAGAAAGTGAGGAAGCATAACTAATAGCAGAAAAATAGCGCTTACAATATGATGAAATACACAGCGTGGTCACAAGTAAATAGACACCACCCTTTCAG